GTCTCCAGACAGTCCAAGGGATCTCCTTACCATGGGGTAGATTCGTGTCCTAGCCTGACACAGACTTGGCCTCTCTGACTTTCCACCCTGACCCTCTTGGAGAGCGGGGACACTCCTGTACCCACCTTAGCCCTTGTGCATCTGCATCTCTGGGTAGCTGTCACTTCCGGGTTATACCTACTCGTCCACAGACTGTGACCCCTTGAGGGTAGAGCCTCACCTTCATTCCTAGGTAGACTTTGTCAAGTATGAGCTGGATGAGACTGACCATCTTCTTTTTTTTTTTTAATTTTTTTGTTTATTTATTTATTAAAGATTTCTGTCTCTTCCCCACCGCCGCCTCCCATTTCCCTCCCCCTCCCCCAATCAAGTCCCCCTCCCTCGTCAGCCCAAAGAGCAATCAGGGTTCCCTGCCCTGTGGGAAGTCCAAGGACCACCCACCTCCATCCAGGTCTAGTAAGGTGAGCATTCAAACTGCCTAGGCTCCCACAAAGCCAATACGTGCAGTAGGATCAAAACCCATTGCCATTGTTCTTGAGTTCTCAGTAGTCCTCATTGTCTGCTATGTTCAGCGAGACCGGTTTTATCCCAGGCTTTTTCAGATCCAGGCCAGCTGGTCTTGGTGAGTTCCCGATAGAACATCCCCATTGTCTCAGTGTGTGGGTGCACCCCTCACGGTCCTGAGTTCCTTGCTCGTGCTCTCTCTCCTTCTTCTCCTGATTTGGGCCTTGAGGTTTCAAGAGACTGACCATCTTCTAACTCTAAAATCCTGCCATTTTGTTTGAATATAATGTTATTTTTCCTTTTGAGACAGGGTCTCAAGTAGCCTAGATTGTCCTTGAACTCCATAGCTGGGACTAGCTTTGATTTCCTAATTATCTTGCCTATTATCCTATTCACAAGTGCTGGGATTACAGATGTGTACTACGCCTGGCTTTATTGATGTGTGTTGAAGCATGTGTGTGCATGAGTGAAGGCCACAGGTTGATGTTGGGTGCTTTCCTCTACCTTATTTATTTAGTTATTTATTTCATTATTTATTTGAAGGCATGGCCTCACTTAACATGGAGCTTGCTGTTTGGCCAGGCTGGCTGGCCACTATGTCCTTGAGATCTGTGGTCCTCCTGTCTGGGTCTCTCCAGCATACAGCTTCTACATGGACATTGGGGATCTGAACTCAGGTCTTCAAGCTTGTACAGCAAGTAGTTTGCTTGCTAAACCACCTCCCCAATCAATCTTTATTCATTTTTGATGCAAGGTTTGGCTTTGTTGTCCAGGCTGTTCTCAAATTTCTAGGTTCAAACAATTTTCTTGTGCCAGCCTCCTAACTAGCTGGGACTACCATGCACCTGCTTCTTAATATAGTTTTAAAAACCTATTTATTTACTATCTCTTCTCTCTCTCTCTCTCTCTCTCTCTCTCTCTCTCTCTCTCTCTCTCTCTCTCTGTGTGTGTGTGTCCAAGTGTGCTGAGGGTGAGGGATGGGAATTTGCAGATAATAGGATAATGACACACACAGAGATACCCAGGGGCCAGGCTAAGAACCAAGATAGGGTGAGGAAAGAGGAAAAGAGGGGAAGTGTCTATCTAGTGAAGGTCAAATTCTTCAGCTCTGGCTTCACAGCACTGTGATATCATGATGGAAATGAACGATGATTCTTGCACTCAGGATTGGGAATGAAGAGCCCTCTCCCAGTCCCTATCCCAGCATCCTCCTGCCCCTGCAATAGGTACCCAGCCTCTGTCAATCCTGTCACTTTCCTTCAGTTGTAGTAGATGTTACACAAGTCACATCCCACTCATGTCGAGGACTTGCTCCTTGATGGCTGAGAAAAAGTCCCTGGAATGCTGTGGCAGCTGCCTCCTTTTGCCAGCATCCCTCTGCTTTCTGACTTCAGATGCACAACTGGGAATCTCAGTGTGACACCAGCTAACAACGCTGTACGGGGGCACACTGGATAAAACTGGGGACCTCACACAGGCTAAGCAGATGCTCTACCTCTGAGACATTGCTGCGCACGTGCACACACACACATACACACACACACACACACACACACACACACACGCACACACCACGCTTCTCGCGGAACCTTCTTGCTCCTTACTTAGATGAAACACATAAGCCAAAGAAACAAAACAAAAGGCAGAACAACAAAAGCCCAGAAATGCAGATCAGCTCAGGTTTCCCGTGGCTGGAGAAAAGGTTGTGGTGCTCTGGTTTCTTGAGGAGCCTGCTATCCTGGTGCCCCACTCATAGCAGAAGGAAGTCAAAGGGTGCTGGGCCATGGTCAGTGGAGGTGTGGGACAAGGTCTTAACTCTTGACCATAGTTATCTTTCTTCCTATTTTTATTAACAGGCATCCCTAAATATGTTTGTGCTATGAATAACCAATGATGCATGTGTTGATTAACTTGTGAATCATGCCTGCGGGGGGAGCAGGAGCTTTAGAGATGAATATAATGTGTTGTAAAATATTTAGCAAATGATCATCCAAGCCACAGGGAAAAATCCGAGAGATGGGAATTTGAAAGCTGCCAGGGTTTAAAAGCTATTTAACGCTAAGCATTGGTGCCAAAGAGCTGAGAGCATCCCTTCTCCCCACTCCACTGGCAACACAGCTTGAAAATGTGGAAAGGGCTTGGCTGGGCTGCGGAGCACTGGTGGGAACAGAGATCAGGCAGAGAGCTGAAAGGCTTTTTGTTTGAGAACCTTGTAAACAAGGGATCTCCTCCCAGGTCCCTCTGAGAGCCCCACCTTGCCTGTGGCTTGCACATTTTCTCCTGCCATCGCCCCGATAAACTCCCAGTGTGGCGCCAACACTATGAAGACACCCGACAGTCATCTGGATGTTTCAAAATCCCCGGATGCTCTGCATCTAGGCAGAGAGAAGCCGCCATATGGCCGAGTGAATTTGTCACCTTCCTTCCAAATGTTTGGATGTCACTCAGACCCTGCCCTGGCTCTGGTTCCAAAGCGGCTTAGCTCTATCTGTCGTTTTAAAGGTTTGGACTCCGAGGTAGTCTTTCTGAGGGGCTTAGGGATTGTATAGTTTAGGGCTGGAGTCAAGACTCACTTTCATAATCTCACTCTTTGGAGATGAGGTGCACTTCTTTCCAAGAAGGGGACGGAAAGCTTGATGTTTTGGCTTGACAGCCCCAACTCTAAAGTCATAGCCTCCTGGGTAGAAACACCACGTGTTAAGGTAAATGAAGGAGTGAGTCAGGGCATGGGAACAGTCATCCTGGAGAGAGGAACCTCATGGTCGTTCAGTCATGGGACATGCTTCAAAGACTCAGTGTGAATCTGGTAGCTGTAACCAACCCAGAAGCCTCTGCTGCTGGGAAACAGTTCATAATCTGCTTGCTGGCATTTGTTGCAAACATGATGGGTCATGAGCCTTCAGGTTCAGTAAAGTGAGGGACCTCTGGGCAAACAACCCTCAGGAGGCTCATGGGAAGAGCCACAGCATCCCTGCTGTCTACACTAGGGCCAGCAGCAAGACCCTCCCCTCTTCTGCTCTGATATTCCTGCTCTTTTGCTTTCCTTAAAGTCGTTTGTTGTCTTTCTTGCAGATTCTCAATTCAGCACCGTCCTTGAGGCCTGCCTCCAAGTCCACCCTGATTTTCCAATCTTCAGGTATCTCACTTCCCTGCAAACTATTCCCTAGCACACGGCTGAGCACCCAACCATTCATCTCACACATAATTATTACGCTCATGATGTTTTAAGAAAGAGTCGTATATTTCTCCTCAGTTCAATGATAGGCTCATTTTGGCAGACCTCAACTCTTTAAAGCCTTGAGAGTATTTCTACTTTCTATTTGTGTGTGGAGGTCAGAAAACAACTTTTGTGAGCTTGTTTTTGACTTGCCCCCTTTTGAAGCGGGGATTTTCTTGTTTCTACTGCTATGAATGTCCAGGTAAGTGGGCTGAGAGCTTCCAGGACGTTCTCTTATCTCTGCCCCCATCTCACCACACGAGTGTTGGGATTACAGACGTGTGCTAGCAGTGGCTTTTTATATGTGTTCCACGGCTGGAAATCAGTTGGTCAGGCTTCCATGACTAGCATTTGCTGAGGCATCTGCCCCTTCATTTTTTTAAACTTAAAAACGGTTTTATTTATGGGTATGTATATGCCATGTATGTGTGGATGCCCAAAGACGCTTCCGATAGCCTGGAATCAGGAGTTGCAGGTGGTTGAAAACCACCTGCTATGGCTGCTGGGAAGCGAACAGGGCAGCCAGCACTCTCAACCATGGAGTAATCTCTCCAGCCATTCCCTCCCTCTGTTTTTAAGACAGGGCCTCATGTAGCTTAGGCTGACTTTGAACTTGATACATAGGCCATGTTGAAAGAAAATCTTGAGCTCCTTTATTTCCTGAATGCTAGAATCACAGGATTGCTTTTTGCTGTTGCAAATCCAGAGCTAACTGCTTGGTCGGCAAGCACTCTATTGACAGAGGTCCATCCCCAGCCCCATAGTGCTATCTGTTAAAACATTTGTGCTCTCAGAAGCTTATCGCAGTGTTGACATGACAAATTGGGGTCCCACTAGTAGGGAGTACAATCAGACTTTCAAATCTGTGGGTTTTACATTTTTGGGTCAAATATTTGTGAGGCATTTTTGTGAATTACTGACTTTCAGGACTCTTCCCATTCCTGTCCTTTTTCCCCAAACCCCACTGCATCGCAGCACGCAACATTTCCACTGTTTCAGTATTGTAAGTACCCAGAGACGGCTTCGATGACAGGGGAGAGTGTGCATAGTTTAGACGCAAACATCTATCTTATAAAAACGTGGACACCCATGGGGTTTGGTACCTGGAACCAGACCCCATGCTTACGGGGTTGGGGTGGGGTGGCAATATGTTGAACAGGTTGTCGGTGATGAGGATCTGGGTTTGACATCCCTCTGCCCCAGAATCCACATAAAAACGCTAGAAGGGGTAGTGCTGGGAGGTGGGACAGGAGACCACTTGGGTCTCAGTGACCAGCTAGTCTAGCTGTATTTGTTGGATTCAGGCCACTGAAAGACCCTCTCTCAAACTAGGTAGCTGAGCATGGTCCTTAAAGCCACCTCTAGGCCTCCATGAACAGGCACAGCCCCTGCACACACACACACATGAGTACACACACGTGTCAAAGAACAGGAAAGAAATAAGATGGAGAAATCCGCCCCAGATCTGCAATGGCGGAATGGGAAACACACGGTCGATCGTTAGACACTATAAACAGTTTCATAATGTGATAATTTTTAATATTAAAAGTAAATTGTAAATGTATCTTTATAAACAATATGCATAAAATAGATCATGTTCTAAAACCTTTTGTTTTTAAAATGCTTTTTCACAGTAAATTTCCTAGGTGTCAGATTTTTTCCCTCAAAATAATAGTGCAATCGAAAGAAGGAACACGCCAGCGGGCAGGACTTTCCTGCTAATATAAATCCTTGTAGATCTCCTGGAGCAGGGGGTGAAGGCTCATGTCCGTCTCCGTCTTCTTGATGACGTGCAATAGCTGCACATGCTCTGTGACGATCTGCCTGAGGTCTGTCATCTTCTGGAGCACCTTGGCGAACAGCTGTGAGGACTCCGGGTGGTTCAGCTTGAGCTGGAGCTCCAGGGCCTGCAGCAGGTTGTCTTGGATGTCCTCAATGGGCTTCACATTCAGCAAGCCTGGGCGATCTGGGAGAAATGAAAAGACAAAAGGCTCTGTCAAAGGTTCTCCTGGCTGGCTCTGAGGCCTCGGCAGCCTCAGGCTACTCCCTCCCCAAGCCAGAGATGAGACCCAGTCCTCAAGCTCCTTGCTTCCTTTCTACCTTTCCATTTTGTTATTTTGTTGTGTTGTGTGGCAGGGAGAAAGGCTCTGCAGCTTATGGGTGAGACTGAAGGATGGAATTGAAAGGCAAAGCACTTCCTGTTCAGGACTAACTGCGCCATGTGACACCATCAGGAGCATTCTGTCCCCAACCCAAGGCCTCTTCTGACAACATGCTTCTCTTCTCAGAAATCGCATTTCCAACCTTTGTTCCTCCTGGTTGATCTTTTCATAGCTTCTACCTATGTTCTCATAACAGTTTCAAACAAAGCTTTCAAGTGTGAGCCTTGTTGTTTTTGTGTGGCACAGAACATCACATTTCCAGCAGGATAACTGAAAGATAAAGCATTGCTTCCCTTTGGAGGGCTATTCCCCTCCCTACAGTGGGGCTGAGGTTTCTCCTAGGGATGAGGTTGCAGGTGTGCTTCATCAAGTTTTAACAGTTCCGTTTCTTTGCTTCCTTTCTACCTTTCCATTTTGTTATCAAGGAAGGTCTGACTGTATTGCCTAGGCAGACCCCAAACTCCTGGGCTCTCTCAGCCCCCCCTCCCCCCCAGGGCTCAGCCTCCTGGGCTGCAGCTACTGGAGGAGTGCAGTGCCGTCCTTGGTAGGACACCCTCGTGTCAGCCTTCCAAAGCACAAAGGCAAATTCTGCTAATGCTTTGCCACCAGTGTGACATTTGCTGTAGATTATGGTGGATTTGTTTTACTTTTGGTTTTCCAAGAATTTTAAAGTTTTAAATTTGTTTTTTGTCAGGAACATTGGTTAAATTTTATTAAAGGCTTTTAAATTTTTCTATCTGAAGAGATATGATATCTGAAAAGATATGGTGGTATCGTAACCTAGTATAATGGATTACATGAATAGACTTCCTTACGTCGTAGCGCTCATTTGTTAGGATCGTATTGGGCTTTTTAGTAACTGTGGACACCACGGCCAGGAGCTATCATCTGAGCCATCCACTTTTCGGTGGTAACTGTGAACAAGCATGCTGAGTGGAGCTCTGTTTTCCTTCAGTTTTGACCTGCTCCTTTGTGGTTTCTTGGAATTCAGTTGAAGAACACTCTGACCCTGGTGACAAGTCCTTCACTACCTAGGCTTTCTACAATGTGTAAAGTAAAACAGTAAATTCTTTCAGAATGGAGTTATACATAATATTCTTTTATAATCTGGAATCTATTTTTATTATATATTGCTAAATGTTTCTTTTAGCTAAATTAATTGTACACACAGTAAGTGGGTTCCACCATGACATTTCCATATATGTCTATAAAGTACTCCCACCCCGACCCTTCACGGTTCCATTCCCATGCCTGCTGAACCCTTCCCAATGAGCCCCTCTCCTATTTTCTTTTTCTTTTTATGAACGAGTGGAATCTACTATTTTATGAACTAGTGAAATCTACTATTTTATGAACGAGTGGAATCTACTATTTTATGAACGAGTGGAATCTACTATTTTATGAATGAGTGGAATCTACTATTTTATGCTCCTTAGCTTAATGCTCTGTTTGTTTTCTCATTTTAAAATCTTGTAAAAGACTTACCTATTTTTTAAAATTTTTAAGCGTATGTGTGTGTTTTGTCTGTATACATGTGTGCACACCATGTCCACGATTACTGTCTTTGGAGGTCAGAAGAAGACATCAGATTCCAATGACTATGAACCATGGTAGAGCTGGGAACTCAATCTTGGTCCTCTGCAACAGCAGCCTGATCTCTAAACTATGGAACCATTTGTCCAGTCCTCCTTATTTAAAAATATAACCCTTAGTTTCATTAATCAAGTTTAAATCATATTTTTGTTTCAATGTTTAATTCCTTTTTAAAAAATAAATTTATCCATTTTTCTTTTTTCCCCTTTCCTAATTTCTTGATTTGAATGCTTTACTTTTAGTTTGGGGACGTCTTGATCTCTAATGAACTCATTAAGACTCTAAATTTTCCTCCCAGTGTCACTTTGGTTTCATCCCACAGGCTTTCAGGAACAGGCTCTCACTGTGCTTGTCAAACAGCCTATCTTAGAGCATTGGCTTAATCCAAGAACTACTCAGAAGTGTGTTTTCAATTTCTCTCTGCTCCCCCCCCCCCGTGTCTCTGTCTCTGTCTCTCTGTCTCTGTCTCTGTCTCTGTCTCTGTCTCTCTCTCTCTCTCTCTCTCTCTCTCTCTCTCTCTGCTCTTTATGTGATTCTGGCTAGCCTGTAAACCACGCTGGTCTCTAACACACAAGAGATTCACCTGCCTCTGCTTCTGGAGTGCTGGGATCGAAAGCACGCTCTGCCACACCTGCTACTTTAATGTTCCTGAGTAAAAGTTTTGGCTTTGGTTCCCGTATTCTAAGTTGGTTAGGATATAAGAGCTTTCTACTGAAGACCCACTGAAAGTAGGATTCATTTGCATCATTTAGGACACACCCCAATTGGTTTCAAAGTTTAGTCCTGCAGGCTGCTCACTCTGTTTCTAAGGGCCGCACTCTTCTCCCTTCACCGTAAGTTTACTCCCATCTTCATCTTTCTCATTGGCTGCTGCCTCTGTACCTTAGCCTCAGTTTCTTTAGCCATCCTTCTGCTCAGGCACACTAAGGTATTTCTATTCCAAAGTCCTCAAACATCCAGCTCCATCAGAGTAGCTATAGAGACTCAGTACTTCCTGCCTGAAGCCTCTTCCCTCCACAGTTCTTCAAACGGAGCAGCAGTGGGATGGAGCACCTCCTCCCCATCCCTTCTCTCTTGGCCTCATCGTTTGCTCTGGGCCCCATAGCACCTTATGACCAACCCGATCTCTACATTTGAGGTGCGTTTACTGAATGGTTGATTTTTCCAGGTCTGTGCACCTCTGTTCCAAACACGACACCCTGAAGTCCTCCCCTTGTGCTGTCAGCACTGTATTCTCTTTCCTGTTGTGCCCAGTAGCAGTGATCTGATGTCTCCGAGCCACCAGTGGATGGATGCCCATTAGCCCTCAGCTGGCTGAGTTAATGAGCAAGGGGTTGTTCTGGCCCAAAGTCCCGGATGGAAGAGTATCATTCTACTTGGTGAACAAGCCTGAAGGCAGAATCACTACACAGTGAAGACGTCTGTCATGAATGGTGTTTTGTTTTGCCATATCTAATAAACTCTCATAACCTTTAATCCACAGCTGCAAGGCTTGGGAGAACAATGTGGTCTCAGGGTGGGACTTTGAGAACATTCTCTCAATTTTACTTCTTTTTCGTTACAGAAGGAAACATGTCTTGGGCTTGACTTTTTTCTTCTCTAACATATCCCATCAATTGGATTAAAAACAGTTTCCTTTGAAATTCCAGCCCTAAATGTGGGACCAAGGGAATAACAGTGAACGTCTCGGACTCTGAGAAGAGAACAAGTGACTTATTCCAGGCGTGGAGAGCCCTCCCCTGGAAGGGCTGTGCTTTTCTCAGTTGTGACATCACAATGAAAGTACTTGGGCCAGGTAAAGCTCTTGTTGCTGTGCAAGCCCAGCACTTGGCATCTGATCCCTAGAACCACGTGAAGAAGGAGGATGGCTTCCACAGAGCTGTCCTCCGACCTACACATGTGTATCATGGCTTTCATGCATATGCATGTATGTTCACATATACTAAAAAGAAATAAGCAAAATTTCCAAAGTTAAGAAACCACTGAGGCTTCAAGAAAAGCTGAACTCTAAACTGGAGCTCTAATGCAATACCTGCTGACCCTCCTCTGCCAACAACATCTGAGGCTGTGTGGATGTGCACAGCTGAGTGGCTGCATCCTGAGTCACACAGCCTGTTCTGGAGCCTCTGCTCCTGGGATCTCTTTCCTTTCTCCTTCCCTTTGAGCTGCACCAGTGGGGACAAAGCCACTCAAGGGATCATATGAATGAACACAGGGTCTCTATCAAACAACAAGACCCTAGTGTGCAAAGGATGGGCTGGAACCTGGCTCGGGGAGTGAAATGTGACCAGCCGCTCCAGGAGTGGGGAAGGATCTGGTTTGGATTTTCCAACCCTTCTTTGGCAAGTTGCTCTTTATGATGTGATGGATGACGCTTGGCTGAAGGGCTGAGATGCTGTAGCTGCAGATTAAATATATTTTCTCCAGTGACAAGTTAGATCATCTAATGATCAGCCTGGCTGTCCCCTACACAAGCCCCCATCAAGGGAACACACGGTTTGGAGAAGGAGGCCACAGAGTAGTAAGGGCCACATTCTCGGGTTTTGTCTTTCACCAGCTCTATGACCTTGGGTCCCACTGGTTAAAGTTGTTGGGCTCAGGTCCCTCCTCTGTATAATCTATCAATGATCTCTAAATCCCTAATTCAAAAGTTCTGAGATGCATTCTTATCTATAATTCCCTCTAGTACACAATTCACATAATTCAACCAGGGAAATAAAAATTGAATTAGAAAAGTATATTCATAAGCTTACATATTAAACTTAGAACTGGCTTATTTAAAAACAAAACCAAAACAAAAGGCAGCTTCTTTAGGTCAAGGGCAAAAGGAATTTATCAATTGCTCCTCTGCTTCTGCTCTTCATGGCTTAGGGACCTCCGCTGCTCTCTTCCCTGGTTTCCCTTCCCACCTCCCTCCCCACATTCCCTTGGACCTTCACTGAGTTGAGATTGTACCATAGACTAGCCCCCAGACTCATCCCATCTTTTCCCTTCCATCTACTCCCTGGGGCCCAGGGCTTCTAGGACATCTGAAGGGCTAGCTGAGGTCCTCGCACCTTCTTGAGGTGAGAGGCGGGTCTGGAGCAGGCTCAGGGTCGAGGGCTCTCTGTTGGCTAAGGCTTGCCCAGTTGGCCCTTTGGGGAAGCCCTGTTGACTCACGTACTCCAGGAGGCTGGAGTCAATTATTATATCCTTACTCCTGGGGCTGTGA